GCGGTGGTAGGGGGGTCAGTCGCCACAGCAACGGGAGCCGCGGTGGGCTGGTCTGTTGCGGGTGTCTCAGTAGGTACAAGCGCGGCGGGACAATTTTCGATMGAAGGTGGCTCCAGTGATGTCTGGTTTTGAGAGAGATGACGAACAAAAWTGGTGCAKTGAGAAACGGCCAACCAACACAGGGGMGCAGAAACCATGCGAAAACACATACACAGTAAGCATAKTCGTATTTCCACCCGTTCACAACACTTACAAAGTGGGTCCAACCTGCACTTTCCCCCTCTACCARCGATGGGTATTCGTCGCAAACATTMGAGTACGAGATGGCGAAAAAGTTGACAATGGCCTCTCCGGCGGCATTTTGTGCAAAAATGTTCAATTGAATGACCTTCGGAATCTCCAAGTTATCCTCCTCTTCCACGATCGAGGTATAGTCGAACTGGTCTCCATCCATAAATGAACCAGTRATATTCTGCTGGCTCAACACTTCGAAAGCTTGTCCTAGTTCCAACACATCCACGTACATTACTTCGGCCGGAACCAAGTCAGTTATGTTATGGAACTCGTCACCGAAAGGACTAACCTGGCAAAACGTAGCAGAAATTCCCCCGTTCCTAGTGACATTCACGGGTGGACATGACAAGGAGAAATCAAGTGTGAAGGTGTACCTYGATGGCGAACATGCACATAATTCTTGTGCCGAAACTCCCTGCAGAAAGAGCGAGGCAGCCCCAAATAGYGGCATCGCCATCGCCATAGGCCTCTTGCTTCTCTGTTGTCGCGAAATCGCCATTATAACTTAGATTGTCGTCTGCCTAAGATTATTAGATAGTGTGTTTGTCGAGTGTTGCGAAACGGTACGATGGAATGGGATGGGATGAAATCTKGTGTTTCAACACTTCCGTCCTTCACCTTCTATGCCCACAGTGGTCTGRTAGACACTGTGATTGGAATAGTGATCGCACGTTGACGTTGAGCGTTATGATRACTCGAGGAAAAGTTCTCAAGATACAGTATTGTAATATTTTAATCGARATCTGTACAAGGCCTAGATGTTCCCGAACGGATGCGTTGATCTATCAACCTGAGGGACTACTCTCACATGCATAATATAATGTGAGCGCCGTGAGGCCGCTACCCTTCTCGTCGAGCCTGAAAAAAATTGGCAAAACCAAAAATTCAAGTCTCAAAATTTTTGGTCAGGGAAGTGACTCGTGCTCCTAAGTAACCATCCTCRCGATGACGTACTTAAKRTAATAATGAGACTCCGAGTCCACCGGTCCTTTTCTGAACGGAACCTGAACGGATAAMAAGAGGAATTTTTGTCGGAAAATAGCGCGCCCTGGGATATAATTGTGACTGCTCTTATCCGTTTGAATTGCTTGTCCCCGGAAGATTGATGATTATCACGGTTCACACTCGATTCATCTCTATCATACAAGAATGGATGGCTTCCTTGCGGTACTCCTATTATTGTCACGGCACTGCGATGATTCATTAAGAGAAAGCCTCTCAAAAGAAATGTCTTGTTGCACATACGTACCGGTTCGTCTAAAAGTTACTATGTCTCGCTGGGTGCTGCCGGTGCGCACAATGATCACATGCCCGTATCGAATATRACTTTCGAGGACTTGTCCTAACGTTTCCGTTTCTGAACAACATCATCACAGTAGGGTAGAATCACTACGTCCGTACTGGTACATCCCCGTACTATGCAGCACAGGTGTTAGTTCGAGTTAATCGTTTCGTAAGGGGGGCGAAGGAAAACTATGAAATTCGGCAACAAACTGTACCAGTAGCAAAGCGTCATCGACTTTCTGAAAGAAAATTGATTCAAGCTTGCTGTTCTTGTTGTTGTTATTCTTCTTCTTCTTCTTCTTCTTCTTGTTACTATTTTTCTTGTTCTTGTTGTTGTTGCTGTTGCTGCTGCGGCTGCTGCTGCTGCTGCTGCTGCTGCTGCTGCTGCTGCTGCTGCTGCTGTGACATAGTAGTACTACTAGTAGTAGTAGTACTACGTCACACAAACCGATATAATGGTGTTTTAAGTTTCCTGCGTGCGCGAAAACAAATTCCCGCGCGTGTTATTCGATGCTCAAATTAGAATCACACGGCCCTTTTCCCTGGAACATGTTCTCGCACCCTTCGTTTCTCAGCACAAATTTCATGCCCTTTTTTAGGGTTTGTACTGTTTTCTATCGTTGCCGTTCATTTTCTCATTACAACCTCTAAAATATCATCATTTCGACATTTTTCTTATATTTTCTTTCAAAATCGAATCCACTGTATTGGTTTTTCTTTTGGTTTCACCAACATTCATTTACTAACAACCGAAACTATTGTTCTCTTTTATACTCTGTTCGAAGGTTTGTCTTATCTTATTACTGCTTATTATATTTTTGTTTGACGTTCAACGATTTTCGTTATAGAACCAATTTTCGCCGTATCCCATTTATATTTTTATATGTCTATTGTTTGTTTGCATTTCATTGTGATATATTATTTTAATGATTTTCGAATTTATACTGGTTGGCCCAACAATTCTTCCACATCTTTAAAGATACTCATGTCCCATACTTCTGTGACATCGAACTTCATTTCCACTTCCTGCAGTTTTCTTCTCTTTCTCTCCCTTTCCTCTCTGTCTTCACCTACCGATTCTCTGTAGTGCGCCATTAACGCCGTTTCAATTGTTCTTGAACTTTCTTCCGC